CCCCCCCCCCCTGCACACACACTATATCGTTCACCCCCTCTCCATCCCTCGCCCACCCGTCTCACTAACTTTGACACAGTCTCTATCCAGCGCCACTTGGACGTAGCGCATGGTGGGAGATCGTTGATTTTTGAGCGGACCTACTAAGCCCCGCACTCTGTGCTCGTGATGAGGGAACGAGCGGACTAACCGGCCTCTAGTTATTGTAATTTGATAATTGAAGGATTACGGATTACCTGACTACAGCTCTGGGCTTTGCGGCTCGTCGGGCCCTCGCTTCGTTATTGGCTCTTTGATTTTTGAATTCCTGGCATCCATAATTATTGTGAAATTTTTATGATTTTTATTTTGAATTTTGAATTTTTTTTTTTTGTATTTTGAAAAAATTAATATTTACACTCGGATTTTAGTATTGGGCAGATTTTGAACTTTGGACGAGTTTATCGTATGTTTCGCTTTTTTAGCTGCATATATATACGTGTCGGGCGCAATCGTATAGGCCCTCCGGAAGACAATTGGCCGGTATATGACGAACAGTACGAAAAGGTGACAATCGTTAAAACTAAATCCAGTTTATATTTCACTGGTTGTCGCAGCGCCGGCCGGAAGGGGTGGGAGGAGTGTAATTGGCCCGGTGCCACGTTAGGAATTATTATTTACGATTGCCATTTGCTTGATATCTAAGGAGCAACGCCCATAACGCGACTTATTGCCTAGATGCCATAAAAGGATAAGATAGACATTTATCAGTAGCAAACTGATATATACCTACGAGAATTTTACACCGAGACGCAACTCGACTATCCGTGTCGAATATTATCGTTTACTATATTTTTGAGTTTTTTTTAAGGATCCTATAACGCATACGTGTACTTTATTGCCGTATGGCTGTATAAAAGGAAATCATCCCTTATTCAAGATTATATATATATATATACATATATACATAATATCGGTGAGTTTTGATTTCACATTGGCTGCTAGACAAATCTTTATCGATCGTAATGGAGATACTGGTCCCTGGTCGTATCGGCAATCTGTATATCATAAAACTCTTCTATATCGATACCAGCCATAATGGCCGTACTTCACTCGGTGCCGACAGTCGTGCTTGTTTTCCGTACAATTGGTACCCCTTTCCAAGTCCACAGACCAGTACTGATATACGGTTGTATATCTGTATAATTTTTTTCTTTAAGATTCCTATCGACGTTGATAAGAAATTTTTTTATTATTTTTAAAAATATTTTTTACTCGATCGTAAATGCGCATTTACCAGCAATGCTGGGCGATAATGACAGTGACGTCACTGGCGAACTTCATATCTGTCCCATCTATCGTTTAGATATTGAATGCTATTGTCAGAAGGTATCGATAGATTCGGTGTATTGCTTGTATTCGAGAATTTTGGGAATGGTGGGGGTGATAAGGGAATTTGAAAGGACCGTCCTATAGGAGGAAATTTTCGTTAGCCTACGATCAGGCATTATAAATTACGTAACGGATCGGAGAGCTCTTTTTACGGGTTTCGAAGGCCAATAAAAGCCAAAGTCAACGTCCGTTCCCTCCGGGTTACGTCCGCCTATAGGTACGTCTGGGAGACGCGGATAGTCGTACATTTTACACCTCCATTTTGAAAGATTTCTCGAACTGTTCGGAGTTTATCTTCATATGGGATCGTATTGAGTTCCGGGGTGACGGGAAGTAGTCCGCGGGTTTCACGTATTCGATATCCTTTTTCTACTCCATCTCTCTCTCTCTCTCTTGCTTTTTCCCTTTTTTACTATGGTATCCTTTTCTTCCTTTTCTATCTCTGTCCTCTAGCCCTCCCGAGCGGGTAACTCAGAGACACACGGGAGCTCAGTCTCTGTCTTTCTCGGAACCCTCATCCACCCCACTCCGTGCGGCCAAGCCGTCGGGTCTTTACAGCGCTCCGTCTTTACAAATTTTATATCATTTTTATGAACACATAAAGTCGTCGAGAAGCCAACGGAGAAGGTCATGGCGGCGGAGTGCGAGGAAAGCTACGGGGTCCAGAGAGTGACTGGACCAGGGGCGGCTGGGGAGGGGGGGGTCACGAGGTAGAGGCCCGAGTCACGTGGCTGGGCGGAGCGGCATTCACCCTCTTTGGTTGAGCAGCTAGGGGTTGCGGAGGGTGATCCTCGGGGTAGGGACCGGAGCGCCTCTAGCGGCGAGGCCTGACTATGGAGTTACCAAGGATCGCGGGCTCCATCAAAAAACGCTCGAATTTAATTAAAAAATTTAGAAGCCCGCAAGAAAATTAAGCCTGGAATTCACATTCCCTCCGTACACCCATTCTCTCTGGGCCTACCTACTCCCTATATTAATTTCACCTCCGCCCCTGACCCCGTAGGGGCTGCACAGCCTGACGCGGCTCTCGCCTGCATCGCCTATGGAATTTCAATGGGATTTCAATGCGATTTTAATGGGTGTAGTGTACGACCAGCGAAAATTGATCGGCCTTGACCGTACGAATATCATCCCCCCCCCCCTTCTTTTTATCAGACAGGCATTTTTTGCAAAAAAAATTTTTTTATTTTTCAAAGTTTTAGGATTAAACATGAAAATGGGTTGAAAAAAATTGTTTATCGGAATTTCATACCCTTTCTCAATATACTCCTTTTTACCTGATAAATACTGTATTCTATCTTACGTACTGACTACGTGTATTTCTTTATGTCTATATGTACACAGGTATCCTATATCTATCCTAGCCTTCCGAGTGTTTTGATAAATGAGCCCACGAGCTACATCATCCCCCGGTAACCACATTTTCCAACCCCGCTGATTCCAGTCCATCAATTTTCAATCACAAAGAAGTCTCTGCTGGCTCCCATGCCGTTCCTCGTAGCTCCTTCTTAGGTGGGTTAGGTGTATTCCTCCCGTCACTTTGGTTCGCTCTTCGCGAGTAGAGTATATATATATATATATATAT